ACACACACACACACACACACCACACACACACACACACACACACACACACACACACATACATATATATGTGTGTGTGTGTGTGACGTGCGTGTGTGTGCGTGATATATATATGTGTGTGTGTATGTATTTATATTTAAACATACACACACCGAGAATGAGAAAGAGAAAGATCGAGCCACAAACACGTACGGGAAGGCCCCCTCACTCACCGAGAAATGCCAACCCAAAGTTCACATGTTCAACCGCAACAAAATTGAGCAACACGACGTATCCAGAACCGCCCTTTCAATATCGTGTTTCTCAATTCTCTCCATCGCGGGCAATTGACGTCTCTCTCTCTCTCTCACTCCACTTCTTTTCGGGTTTTCTTTCTTGTACTCTTTGTTTCTTATAAGCTGGAGATCGTCACGATTTTTTTTTATGTCTGAATTGTTTGTTTGTATTTTTTTCTGTAGTTTTGTTTTTGTTTTCGTGTTTTGGTGATTTTATTTATTATTCTTTGTTATTTCTTCCCCGCTTTTCTTTCTCTCACTCCATTTCTCTTCGGGTTTCTTTCTTGTACTATTTGCTTCTTAATTGTATTTAAAATTTTCTCGATTCTTTTATGTTTGAGTTGTTTTGTTTACTTATTGTGTTTGATTCTTTGTTTAGATTGTATTTATGTTTTTTTTGCTATAGTTTTTGTTTTTGTTTTCGTGTTTTTGGGGATTTTCTTTTATTATTTATTATTCTTCCCCACTTTCCTATCTCTCACTCCACACATCTTCGGGACATTTTCTTGTACTCTTTGTTTTTATTATCTTAAATTTTTCTCTCTTATCTCTTCTCCGTTCCCTCTTCTCTTCTTACGCTATTTCCCTGTCATTCCCTTCCTCCTGTCTCCTCCTCCTCCTTCACTCCCGTTTTCCCTTTTCCTCCTCTTTCCCCTTGCCCTCTCCCTTCTCCCTCCTCCTCTCCCCCTCTCGTCTTTCTTCTTCCTCTTCCTCCTCTTCCGACCGCTCTCCCCTTTCCCCTAAGCCTCTTTCTTCTTTTCTCTCCTCTCCCCCTCTCTCCTTTCTCCTCCTCCGTCCCCTCACTTCTTTCCTCCTCTCCCCTCTCCTCTTTCACCTCCATCCTCTCCCTCTCCTCCCCCCTCCCCCCCTCCTCCTCCCCTCAATTCTTTCGTCTACCACCCCCCCTCCCCTAATCCCCCGCTCTCCCCTCACCTTTTTCTCCTCCATCCCTCCTCCTCCCCTTTCCCCCCTCTCCCCCTCCTCCACCCTCCATCCCCTCTCCCCTCACCTCTTTCCTCCTCCATCCCCCTCCCTTTTCCCCTCCTCTCCCCTTTCCCTCCCTTCTCCCCTCCTCTCCCCCCCCACTCATTTCCCTCCCTTCCTCCCACCCTCCCTCACAACCCGTCCCTCTCCTCTAATACCAAGAACGCCCCACAGGTCACACTCCCGTGGGTGGCGACGTTCGACTCGTCCAGCCTCAGCCCGGGGAAGTGCCTGGCCCTCGCGCCCGCCTCGCTCGCCTGCCTGGTGGCTCTCGCGAGGATAAAGGTCGTCGGTGGTGGTGGATGGTGGGGTTGGTTTGGGGGATCGGAGAGCGGTAGCGGATGCTTACGTATACGGACACGAACACGCACACACACACATATATGTGTGTATGTATGTATGTGTGTGTGTGCGTATGAATAATATATATATATATATATATATATATATATATATATATATATATATATATATATATATATATGTGTGTGTGTGTGTGTGTGTGGTGGTGTGGTGTGTGTGTACATACATTTATGTGTGTATATATATATATATATATATATAATTATATATATATATAATATATATATATAATACATATACGGTATATATATATATATTATATATATATATATATTATATATATATATATATACAGTATATATATATATAATATATATATATATATATTATATATTATATATATATATATATATATAATATGTGTGTGTGTGTGTGTGTGTGTGTGTGTGTGTGTGTGTGTGTGTGTGGTGTGTGTGTGTGTGTAATTATGCACATGCCCTGGTGATTTGTTAATCAATGCTTTTTAAAACCTACTCCCATATTTATTACTCTACGATGTTCCAACACGGGTTTAATAGTACTTGTTTTTCAAGAGTTTTCCGATCCCCCTTATATCTAAATGTTTTTCCCTTGTATAAGATCCTGTGACCGTGAACTTGGTACGTTAAGCGAGTTTCGATTTCTTTGAGACAGACTTCGTTAAATGCACTGCACCATTCATAAATGCGTTCCTTGAATGATTTCTCAAAGCTAGGTGGAATGGAGATTCAATTTTGTAATTCTAAACCATTTTATAATAGTCTACCGTGCATTGCGTTCATAAAAGATTTAACCTACGCGAAAATACTAGCGCAGTTCCGTAGAGTTATTTCAAAATTCTAACGGAAATGTAGAAGACCGTTACTTTTAAATTACCATCATCATAAACATTACCTTGATCATTTAAATGAGATCGTATAAAATCCAACAAATATCCAGTTTTAATCCAATAAAAAAACATCCAGTAATTAAGTCACTTGCAATTCGAAATTTAATTAAATATTTCATTAGCTCGAGGCATTTGAGATTCTCGGTGATCAAGGCATTTGTTTATGATTTTAAAAAATTATCGTTACTATTTTTATATCTAATATTACTATTTCTAAAGACATGAGTTCAGTTATGTTTTGCCTGCGTCCCTAAAAACATCTTAAACTGAAAACAACTTTATCGTTGTTGTTTTTTAGATTCTATAGATATATGAATACAAATATTTTTTGCCTGCGTCTTCAGGACAAAATATCTCCAAATATGAATGAATGGCGGAAAAAAGTTATATCAAAATTATACCGAAACACCACTAATATTGATGCAATTAAACAGAAAGAGTGATATTAATGAATAAACAAGCAGAAATAAACAGAACAGCAATCTTCTAATTGTGTTTTTTTTTTTTTTTTTTTTTTTTAATCTTGAATGTTCATTGGCGGTATATACGAGTATTGTAACGGTAATTACCTTTCCAGATGCACATGTTTATTATTATCATTATTAGTGTTGTTATTATAATTTATTGTTGTTGTATTACTATTATTATTGTTACTATTCTTTTTTATATTATTATGATCATTATCATTACTATTATGGTCATCATTATTATTATTACTGTTATATGCAGTAATAGCAGTATGATTATCGTTGTTATTATTTTCATTATCATTGTTATTATCGATATTATTATCGTTACATTATTATCATCATTATTATTAATGTTATTATCAGTTATAGTAGTAGAAATGATATTATTATTATCATTAATGTTATCACTATTATTTAATCATTATTACTATTATTATTATAAATACTGTTAATATTATTATTATTATTGCTAATATCAGTATCATTATTATTAGTATTATTATTGATAATATTGTTAATATCATTATTATCGTCATCATTATTGCAATCATAACTATTGCCATCACCACCACCATCACCATCATTCCCATTATCACCAGTGCCATTATCAGCACCACCTCCATCACCATCATCACCACCACCATCATTACCATTCCCATTATCATCACCACCACCATCACCATCATTCCCATTATCATCACCACCACCATCACCATCATTCCCATTATCATCACCACCACCATCACCATCATTTCCATTATCACCATTATCATCACCACCACCACCACCACCATCTTTCCCATTATCATCAACACCGCTACCACTATCATCACTACCATCATCACCACCACCACCATCATTCCCATTATCAACACCACTATCACTATCCTCATTTTCATCACCACCACCACCACCACACCATCATCACCACCACCATCCTCATTTTCATCCCCCTTTCCAGGCCCTCCTCAGACACTCGTGGGAGGCCGAGCAGCAGCGCCTCCTGGAGGATATCGGAAACAGCAGATCGGTGGTGGGAGACGGCCTGGCCATCGGCTACTACGTCGGTTATTTGAAGAATCTCTTTTCGGAATGTGACGGTTTAGGTTAGTAAAGGTTTAGGTTAGTAAAGGTTTAGGTTAGTAAAGGTTTAGGTTAGTAAAGGTTTAGGTTAGTAAAGGTTTAGGTTAGTAAAGGTTTAGGTTAGTAAAGGTTTAGGTTAGTAAAGGTTTAGGTTAGTAAAGGTTTAGGTTAGGAAAGGTTTTAGGTTAGTAAAGGTTTAGGTTAGTAAAGGTTAGGTAAGTAAAGGTTTAGGTTAGTAAAGGTTTAGGTTAGTAAAGGTTTAGGTTAGTAAAGGTTTAGGTTAGTAAAGGTTTAGGTTAGTAAAGGTTTAGGTTAGTAAAGGTTTAGGTTAGTAAAGGTTTAGCTTAGGAAAGGTTTAGGTTAGTAAAGGTTTAGGTTAGTAAAGGTTTAGGTTAGTAAAGGTTTAGGTTAGTAAAGGTTTAGGTTAGTAAAGGTTTAGGTTAGTAAAGGTTTAGCTTAGGAAAGGTTTAGGTTAGTAAAGGTTTAGGTTAGTAAAGGTTTAGGTAAGTAAAGGTTTAGGTTAGTAAAGGTTTAGGTTAGTAAAGGTTTAGCTTAGGAAAGGTTTAGGTTAGTAAAGGTTTAGGTTAGTAAAGGTTTAGGTTAGTAAAGGTTTAGGTTAGTAAAGGTTTAGGTTAGTAAAGGTTTAGGTTTAGTAAAGGTTTAGGTTAGTAAAGGTTTAGCTTAGGAAAGGTTTAGGTTAGTAAAGGTTTAGGTTAGTAAAGGTTTAGGTTAGTAAAGTTTAGGTTAGTAAAGGTTTAGGTTAGTAAAGGTTTAGGTTAGTAAAGGTTTAGCTTAGTAAAGGTTTAGCTTAGGAAAGGTTTAGGTTAGTAAAGGTTTAGGTAAGTAAAGGTTTAGGTTAGTAAAGGTTTAGGTAGTAAAGGTTTAGGTTAGTAAAGGTTTAGGTTAGTAAGGTTTAGGTTAGTAAAGGTTTAGGTTAGTAAAGGTTTAGGTTAGTAAGGTTTAGGTTAGTAAAGGTTTAGGTTAGTAAAGGTTTAGGATAGTAAAGGTTTAGGTTAGTAAAGGTTTAGGTTAGTAAAGGTTTAGGTAAGTAAAGGTTTAGGTTAGTAAAGGTTTAGGTTAGTAAAGTTTAGGTTAGTAAAGGTTTAGGTTAGTAAAGGTTTAGGTTAGTAAAGGTTTAGGTTAGTAAAGGTTTAGGTTAGTAAAGGTTTAGGTTAGTAAAGGTTTAGGTTAGTAAAGGTTTAGGTTAGTAAAGGTTTAGGTTAGTAAAGGTTTAGGTTAGTAAAGGTTTAGGTTAGTAAAGGTTTAGGTTAGTAAAGGTTTAGGTTAGTAAAGGTTTAGGTTAGTAAAGGTTTAGGTTAGTAAAGGTTTAGGTTAGTAAAGGTTTAGGTTAGTAAAGTTTGGGTTAGTAAAGGTTTAGGTTAGTAAAGGTTTAGGTTAGTAAAGGTTTAGGTTAGTAAAGGTTTAGGTTAGTAAGGTTTAGGTTAGTAAAGGTTTAGGTTAGTAAAGGTTAGGTTAGTAAAGGTTTAGGTTAGTAAAGGTTTAGGTTAGTAAAGGTTTAGGTTAGTAAAGGTTAGGTTAGTCGCACGTGTGTTGTGGGGTTGTGGGGGTGGGTGGGGGCGTGTGTGGTTATGTTTTGCGAGGTTGTGGGTGGGTGGGGGGTGCGTGCATGTGTGGTTAAGTGGTTTTTGGTTGGTTGGTTGTTGATCTTTTCGGAATGTGACGGTTTAGGTTAGTCGCCACGTGTGTTGTGGGTTGTGGGAGGGGGGGGGGCGTGGCGTGTGTGGTTATGTTTTGCGAGGTTGTGGGGGAGGGGGGGCGTGGCCGTGTGTGGTTAAGTGGTTTGGTTGGTTGGTTGTTGATGGGTTTGAGGGAGCTTTGAGTTTTTTTGTTTATTTTCTCGTTCTCTCTGTCTCTCTCCCCCTCCCTCTCTCTTTTTCTCCCTTTCTCTTTTCTCCCCTTCTCTCTCTTCTCTCCTCTCCATCTCCCCTCCTCTATTCTTCCCTCACTCCCTCCCTCTCCACCTACTCATCCTCCCTCCTCTTCTCCGCAGACTTCGTAAAACGCCTGAGATCCTTTCGAACGAGCAGCACAGGATGAGGCTGGCTTCAACACAAGATCTACATCCTCTCCTTCACCTCCTGTACGAACAACCACTCGGCCTTCGATGTGATGGACAAAGTGGGAGAGGTGGGTACTCGTCGTATATTATTTATAATTTATGGCATAGCTTCTCTTTTGAACGAGCTCCTTAGAACATAAACAAAAGGTCTTAATGGTCTTGTCTCAACTTATGTCGTCTGCCTTTTTTTCTCTTTCCTGTAATGAAAAAAATCTTTAATGGTTCTGTCGCAACCTACCGTTGTCTGCCTCTTTCTCTTTCCTGTTACAAAAATAGCTTTAATGGTTCTCAAAAGCTGTTGTGCTTTTATCATCATCACTGTCTTTGCAACGACTTTTTCATTTTGTTAAACACTCTGGTACCCAATGCCAGCCAACTTCAGCAGACTTCGAATACATTTCTGTTATTATTGTTTTTTTTCTGTTCTCGATCCAAGATACAATAAGTCAATTCTCCAAGAATTCTTTTCTGATGGAAATATCTTCAGCTCTTCCCTCCTCCTTTACCATAACCATACTTAAGTCTTCTGTTATTCTTTCATCATTTTCGTCATCATTTCTTCGCAACTTTTTTAATTTCGTTAAACGTTCTGGTACCCACTGCCAGTCGCCTTCAGCCGACTTCGAATGCTTTTGTTGTTATTACTATTTTTTTCTATTCTCGATCCAAGTTACAATAAAGTCTGTTCTACTGATGGAAATGTCTTCAGCTCTTCCCTGCTCCTCCTTTGTCATCACTTTAGTCATCCCAGTATTCGTCTTGAAACCATAAGCCCAAAACTTTACAAACAAGCTCTCGATTAAATAACATGGCCGCGTCGTCTGCACATCAAAGACCACTCCTCAAACGACCTCCAACTCCAAGAGATCGAAAATTTCCGCGTAGTCACCCTCTTAGATGTTTTCTGTTTAAGCATCGAAATGGTAGGAGACAGTATACACCATTGTCGAACGCCCTTCTTGATGGTAAAATCAGTCTGTAGTTCCACATTCAAGCCTTACCGCTGTACTGCTGAAGATTGAATAGGTCTTTCCACACGTATTGGGAAACCCATTCTTTGCGCACCATCCATGATGATTGTGCTCATCAGAGTCCTTCGAGTAGTCGATAAAGCTGGTATGCAAATCTTGTTACATTTCTCGACACTTATTCATGACCTTACGAAAGATAGAAAATATGGTCCGTGTACAAAGGTGCTTCATGTAACCTGATTTGGAAACAGATTTCCTCTGTTGTCCTTTTCTTCACTCTGCAAGATTATCTTCAGCATTAATATGCGTGTGGTGACAAATGCGTAAAGTTCTATAATTTTCACTTAATTAGAGGTCTTTTTAGGGAGTGGAAAAACACTTTTTGCACCAGTCTATTGGCCATTCATGTCTGCAACGTTCTCACTAGAATGTCATCACAATCGGGAGACTTCTCATTTGTTAGTGTTGTCATTGCCTCCTCAACTTCGAATCACAAGGAGACCAAGTCACTGTCTTCGGTGTTTTCTTTTATTCAATCAAGGAGATGTACTTGACCTTGTTCTTGATCATTGTAGACATTACTGCAGTACGCTTTCCATCGGCCAAGAATATCTCTCGACTGACTGAAAATTCTTTCATCGTTATTTTTTCATCTTTGAACATCTTTGTTAAACCTTTGATTTCATTGAACATTTTCTTCACTGATCAGCTGTATGATGCTATTCACAGCAGGAGTCATCAAAAACAATGCTCTTTATCCATGCAACGGCTCGCTTAATTGCAGTGGGATACTGTTCACTAGTGACACTGATACCTTGAGATTTCAGAAAGAGAGAAAGAAAGAGCGAAAGAGAGTAAGGAAACATGCCCATATAAAAACATATAATTTGAATATGTTTTTGCGTGTGTGTGTGTTTGTGTGTGTGTGTTTGTGTGTGTGTGTTTGTGTGTGTGTGTGTGTGTGTGTGTGTGTGTGTGTGTGTGTGTGTGTGTGTTGTGTGTGTGTGTGTGTGTGTGTGTGGTGTGTGTATGTATGTGTGTGTGAGATAGATAGATACTTATTTCCTAATTTCCATCGCCATAGATAGATAGATACTTATTTCCTCATTTCCATCGACATAGATAGATAGATACTTATTTCCTAATTTCCCTCGCCATAGATAGATAGATAGATACTTATATTCTCATTTCCATCGCCATAGACAGATAGATTCTTATTTTCCTAATTCCCCTCGTCCCTTTCCCTTCCCCAACAGCCCCTGAAGATGCAGTACACCCGCGGCGGTGTAACAAGAACCATCAACAACACTGTCTATCGCGGCCGCGTTCCTGGGATTTATCCTGGCGTTTATTTAGCCGATGATGAATTCTACGTCATATGCGAGACTCTTTCTCCCATTAGTACCATCAGCAGCATGGATTGTGTGGGTGAGTTTATGTTGGTGTGTGTTTTTTTCTATGGTGTATTGTGTGTGTGTGTGGAGGGGGAGGGTATGTGTGGGGGTGTATTTTTTTAATGTGTCAGTGTGATGTTTGGTTTTGGTGTTTTGTGAATCGGTTCGTGTATGTGGTGGTGTTTGATATTTATTTTGTTTTTGTTTATGTGTTTTTGAAATTATTTGTTTATTTACATTTATCTACCTACGCTGTCTATCCTCGTCTCTCCTCTCTCTTTCCTCCCCCCTCTCTCTTCTCTCCTCCATTTCTCTTACCTTTCTCTCTCTCTCTCCTCCTCAGATTGTCATATCTCTCACCCTTTCTCTCTCTCTCTTTCAATCTCCCTCCTCCTTCCCATTCCCTCTTCTCCTCCTTTCCTTCTCCCTCTCCCTCTTTCCCTTCCCCACCCCATCTCTCTCTTTTCTTCTCACATCTCTTAACTCTCTTTCTCTCTCCATCTCCATTATCCCTCCCTCTCCCTTTTCTCCTACCTTTCTCGTCTCTCTCTCTCTCTCTCTCTCTCTCTCTCTCTCTCTCTCTCTCTCTCTCTCTCCTCTCTCTCCTCTCTCTCTCTCTCTCTCTCTCCCTTTCTCTTATCTCTCTCTCTATCTCTCCATCTCCCAGGATTCTCGAAGGACGATAAACTCCGGACCCTTCGGCGCCTGACAGCTAAACTAAACGAATTCCTTCAAGAGGATCCAAGCATAAGGGACTACGTAAGGCTCATGGAAATCGATGGTACGGGATCACAAGCGGCCGAATCTCTTTTGTTTTGCTGAACTTATAGTTTGGTATGGGATGATTGGCTGTCGACTTTCTTTTGTTTTGTTGAACTTATAGTTTGTATGGGATGATTGGCTGTCGACTTTCTTTTGTTTTGTTGAACTTATAGTTTGGAATGGGATGATTGGCTGTCGACTTTCTTTTGTTTTGTTGAACTTATAGTTTGGTATGGGATGATTGGCTGTCGACTTTCTTTTGTTTTGTTGAACTTATAGTTTGGAATGGGATGATTGGCTGTCGACTTTCTTTTGTTTTGTTGAACTTATAGTTTGGTATGGGATGATTGGCTGTCGACTTTCTTTTGTTTTGTTGAACTTATAGTTTGGAATGGGATGATTGGCTGTCGACTTTCTTTTGTTTTGTTGAACTTATAGTTTGGTATGGGATGATTGGCTGTCGACTTTCTTTTGTTTTGTTGAACTTATAGCTTGGTATGGGATGACGGGGAAGGCTGGATCAGTAGCAACTCGAGGAGGTGTCATGGCGTCTGATTCTATTTTTGGAAAAACACATGGGGGTTTATTTTGATGACGTCACAAAAGTTTACGGATGTTCTGTGAATATGGTCGATCATTTCGGTCTCTTCAATTTTTCAAAAAGGATGGAAAATTATGATTTTAATGGGTTATATTTTCACAGAACAATCAAAATAGTCCTGTGGGACGCCATGAAACCTCCTCGAGTTGCTACTGACCTAGCCTTCCGCATGGGATGACTGCTGATTTTCTGTTGTTTTGTTGAACTTATAGCTTGGTATAGGATGACTGACTGCCGGTATTCTTTTGTTTTGGTTGACAGTTGGTTTGATAATACCATCTTTAATTCAATCGATTTATGAAAAGGAGTTCATGTTTGTTTGCTTTGAGGTGAAATATCTGTTTTTATTCTATATTTGTCGAAAAGGTTTCATGAATAATTGAATGTAAACTATACATGGTGATATCTGTATTATTTCTGCATCTCGTTAAACCGTTTTTGCTTTTGGTAGATGTTTAGGCATTTTTTTAGTATATTTTTTATTTGTTTGTTTTTATTGACAGATATCAACGATCGTCGTCCTCTTAATCAGTTACTGTGGGAGCAAATAGAAGTAAGTTTTAGACTCTCATTGTGCTTGAAATATTATTATCAAATGATAAATATAACATCTAATGCAGATAAATATATATCTACCACACACACACACACATATATTATATGTATATACAGTATATATATATATATATATATATATATATATATGTATATATATAAATATATATATATGTTTGTGTGTGTGTGTGTATGTATGCACACACACACATACACACACATACACACACACACACACACAACACACACACACACACACACACACACACACACACACACACACACACATATATATATATATATATATATATATATATATATATATATGCATGAATTTTATATATTCATTATCAAAATGAGTAATACTAAAGATGACATTGCTTCCAGAAAGACCACCGGGATATAAAAAATACGTTGCTGGCCCTTCAATCAGCGAAGAAAAAACACGAAATGACGGAACGGAAGTGACAGTTTGTTTTTTTTTTTTTTTTTCTTTTTTTTTTGGGGGGGGGAGACCGGCGAGAAAGGAATAAACCGGTTAACCAATACGAAAATAAAATACAGCTTGGATGTTTTATATGCGAAAAAAGTACTTGAAACGCGCTTGGATGTTTTATAAGTGAAAAAAAAAAAAAAAAAAACGCGCTTGCATGTATCGTAAGTGCCAAAAATATAACTTGAAACGCGCTTAGATGTTTTATAATAAAAAAACTTTAAACGCGCTTGTTTTACAAGCGCCAAAAATAACTTTGAAACTCGCTTGGATGTTTTATAAGTAAAAAAAAAAAAAAAAAAAAATGCGCTTGGATGTTTTATAAGTGCAAAAAAAAAAAAAAAAAAAAAAATGCGCTTGGATGTTTTATAAGTGCAAAAAAAAAAAAAAAAAAAAATGCGCTTGGATGTTTTATAAGCGCAAAAAAAGAAGAAAAATTGAAACGCGCTTAAATGTTTCTTAAGCGCCAAAAATAACTTGAAACGCGCTTAGCTGTTTCATAAACGCCAAAACATAACTTAAAACGCGCTTAGATCCTTTATAAGCGCAAAAATAGAAAAAAAACAATATAAAACCCGCTACAATCGCTTAATTTCCACCAAAGAATCTCCATCCCTAAAACTTCCCTTACGACATTCCACACGTGATGCTCAGAAACCCACACACGAGGCCTACATCTTTTTTTTTTTTTTTTTTTTTTTTTTTTTTTTTTTTTTTTTTTTTTTTTTTACTCCGAAAGAGCTGGAGTAGTCCGGGTTTCGCTTAAGCCACCCGGTAATAGGTCTTTTATTTTAGGTTTAATAGGCCTACATCAAGGTCTACACTTCTATAGACCTTGCCCACACACACATCCTTCGGGGCACGACCTTGTTTCCTGTCGATAAGAGAGGATGATGAAGATACACGTGGATGAAGAAGACGTTGAACTCCTTGACCTGGAATCGGGGTGTAGATTGTCCTTTTTTGGAGAGAATATTTTAGTTATGGCGAATCTGGTATCAGTGGATTTTTAGGTTAAGTCGGATGTCGATGAAATGGAGGATTTTAGGTTGACGTTTATTTTTTTTTTCTTTTTCTTTCTATGTTTATTTCTTATTTTCTTTATTTTTTCTCTTGTTTGTTTCTTTTTCCGTATTTTCCCTTGTTTCTTTCTTTTTTCTTTTTTTCTTCTTTCTTTCTCTCCCTTTTCCCTTCTTTCCTTCCTTTTTCTTTCTTCTCCTCTCCTTTTCCCTTCTTTCTCTGTTTTTCTTCCCTTCTTTCTTTCTGTCTTTTCTCCCTTTTTCCCTTCTTTCTCTTTTTTCTTTCTCTCCCTTTTTCCTTCTTTCTTTCTTTTTTCCCTTCTTTCTTTTTCTTTCTTTCTTTCTTTCCCTCCCTTTTTCCCTTCTTTCTTTCTTCCCCTTCTTCCAAAGACGCCATCGAATGCATTTCCTCCAACTTTGAGAGACGAACAAACAAATGTTCCTCCTTTCCTCAGAGAACAAATAATACTCACCCATAACCTCAAGGATCACCGTGACCCTCGACACGTCTTCGAGACTTGGTCGAGTGTGACTTGAGACGTTCAAGTAAGAGATAAGGTGATAAATAGTAATAATAGTAATTAATAGTAATAAGTCTTCGAGACTTGGTCGAGTGTGACTTGAGACGTTCAAGTAAGAGCTAAGGTGATAAATAGTAATAATAGTAATTAATAGTAATAAGTAATAAATAGATAGTAATTGATAGTAATAAGTCTTTGAGACTTGTCGAGTGTGACTTGAGACGTTCAAGTAAGAGATAAGGTGATAAATAGTAATAATAGTAATTAATAGTAATAAGTAATAAATAAATAGTAATTAATAGTAATAAGTCTTCGAGACTTGGTCGAGTGTGACTTGAGACGTTCAAGTAAGAGATAAGGTGATAAATAGTAATAATAGTAATTAATAGTAATAAGTAATAAATAAATAGTAATTAATAGTAATAAGTCTTTGAGACTTGGTCGAGTGTGACTTGAGACGTTCAAGTAAGAGATAAGAATAGGTGATAAAGATATAATTCAAGAGATAGAAGTAAACCAATTAAGGATTGTTAATAAACATAAACATATGGTTTAAGAGATATAAGTAAACCAATTAAGGATTGAATAATAACATATAATTAAACATATGATTTAAGAGATATAAGTAAACCAATTAAGGATTGATATAAACATATAATTTAAACATATGATTTAAGAGATATAAATAAACCAATCAGGATTGATGATAAAACATATAATTCAAGAAAGTATTAAAGTAAACCAGAAAATATTAAAGTTATAATAATGATGAGATAATAAGAAATAAGTATAAAACAAAAAAAGTATCTTTTTAGACATGAAGACGTACTTATCATCAATTTTCAGATAATTAATTTCCTGTGACGACCTTCTATGATAGGGAATTTCAGATGCACCTGATGTACATACAGCATGATGTAGAAAAAAATGTCTAAATACAGTATACATTATAATATAAAAATAAAAGTCTACAGACAATACATACAGCATGATGTAGAAAAATGTCTAAATACAGTATACATTATAATATAGAAAATAAAAGTCTACAGACAATACACAGCATGATGTAGAAAAATGTCTAAATACAATATACATTATATATGTAGAAAAAAAATGTCTACATACAATTTGCATTATAATATAGAAAAATGTCTACATACAATAACATATAATATATAAAAAATATCTATATACAATATACATTATGATATAGAAAAATGTCTAAATACGATATACATTATGATATAGAAAATAAACGTCTACAGACAATATACAGTATAATGTAGAAAAAATGTCTACATATAATTTGCATTATAATATAGAAAAACATTCTACATACAATATACATTATAATATAAAAATACTCTACATACAATATATATTATAATATAGAAAAAAATTCTACATACAATATACATTATGATTACATACAATATACATTATGATAGATATGTATTTTTGTTTGTTTGTTTGTGTGGGTGTGTGGGGTGTGTGCGGATGTGTATGTACATTGTGTGTGTGTGTGTGTGTGTGTGTGTGTGTGTGTGTGTGTGTGTGTGTGTGTTGTGTGTGTGTGTGTGCGTGTGTGTGTATGTATGTATGTGTGTGTGTGCGTGTGTATACATCTGTGTGTTTGCCCGTGCGGACACGTATATATATTTACTTGCGCGTGTGTGTACGTGCGCATTCCACGTCCCGCATCCCCCAAGGAGGACGCAGGATCCGCCAACGAAGACCCAGAGACGGCGACAACGCATCCCGCCCACAACAAGGAGGTCCCAGAGACGGCGACAACGCATCCCGCCCACAATCGCTCTATCCACTTCCCCACCGATGGCTATCTCAGCGGAAGCGAGCTCTGGGTCCCGAAAGCCTCGACAAGTTCCACGTTCTTCACTCGCCTGCTCAAGGACTTACTTGCCTGCTGGTCGGTGTGGTTCCTCCTTCTGAGCTTAGAAGTGTTTTATACCCCCCCCCTTTTTCTGTATGTCAATAATCTGCTGAACTTAGAAGAGTATATATATCCCCCCCCCCCCTTTCCATATGTAAATAATCTCCTGCTAAGCTTAGAAGATATATATATTTCCCCCTTTTTCCATATGTAAATAAGATCGTACTTACGTTCAGCGTCTTGGAATTCTTCTGTTTGGCGCCATGTCGACTTTTTCAACAAGTAAGTAAATTCTTATTTGCTGTTTTTGATGTTTATTATCGTGATTATTTTTTGGCGCCATGGCGGAATGTACAAGTAAATTCTTATTTGCTGTTTTTGATGATTATTTTCGTGGTCAAACATTCATGAATTATTTCCGTTTATCTTAGGTTTTGTAATTGCAAATTTGTTGTCAGTGATAATGATGATAATGGTGATCATAATGCATGATTATGATAATAGTAGAAATAAAGATGATATGAATAATGGTAATAATGATGGTTATGATAATGATAATGATAAAGATATTGAAAATAATAGTAGTAATAACGATAAGGATGGTAATGATGATAATAATGATAATAATAACTATTAGAAAAATGAGAGTAATAACGATAATAGAAGGTAATGATAATGATACCAGTAATGATAAGAATTATAATCATGATGATAAAGATCATAACAATGACTATAATGATAATAACAGTAATAATGAAAGATAATGATAACGATGACAACAATAATGATGATAATCATAATGATGATGATGAGAATGATACTAACAGTAGTAATAAATGATAATAATAATTACAATAATAATGATAATAATAATAGTGATAATAATAATGATAATAGTCATAATTATAATAATAATGATGATGAGGATGATAATAGTAATAATAATAAAATAATAATAATAATAATTATTATTATTATTATTATTATTATTATATATAATAATAATGAAATAATAATAATAGATAATAATAATAATAATAATAATATAATAATAATAATAATAATAATAATAATAATAAGGATAATAATAATAATATAACAATAATAATATTGATGATAATAAGATTGATGATAATAATATTGATAATAATAATAATAAAAATCCACAGAACCTTAAACCACCAACAACAAACACTCATTCCTCAAAAAATAATAACAATGAATATATAAATAAAAGAAAAAAAACACAAAAATATCATCATAAATAATAGAGAAAAGAAACACACAAAAAAATAAATTCATCATATAAATAAATAAATAGATAAGAATAGAAGAAAAAAATCATAATAAATAAGAATAAAAGAGAAAACATGATAAATCAATAAATAAGGATATAAAAGAGAGAGAGAAAAAAATAACGAATTTCAAAATGGCCGCCTCCTTCCTCCTCTCCAGTCTGATCAGCGTCGCCGCCATCTTCGCCTCTCCTGAACCTCGGCTGCTGTGTTGTCCTTTTCTGGCTCTATCGGCGGTACTCGCTGCGAAAGAGGTGGGTGGTGGGCGGGTCTTTGTGGGGCGGG